TGTTTCTAACTCTCTATCCCTCTCCCTTCCTCTCTGTAAAAAATCAATAAAATAATATTTTTAAAAAAATAACTTTCGCTTAATGAATAAATGAACACCTTTTGCATTGTAATGATTTTGGGTTGATCATTTAAAAACAAAGGACTTAAAAAAATAAAAATAAAAAAAATAAAAACAAAGGACTTGTAGGAGGGAGAAGTCTTAATACACACAGATTAGTTTTAATAACTATTTTATGGCTCCATTCCTTTGTAAGTATTAGCTTTTCCATTTTTAATGTTTTGTTTTATATTTATAGAGACTGTTGAAGCTATATCTATATAACCATTCCTGGTAGAATTGTTAATGTAGTTTTTGTAGTTTTCCTTCAGTGGATATACCTTGAAAATTTGCTTAAAACTAAATCTGTGGTTCTGTTGTACAACTGTGTATTTGTCAAAATTCATAGAACTGTACACCAAAGAGTGAATTTTACTTATATAAATGAAAAAGTATATTTAAACTATAAATATGTCAGGAAAACATAGTTGAAAGACAAAGAGGTGGTATATTCATTTACTTTCTTTGTTGCTATAAAACTTGGGAAATTTTTGCCCTGGTCAGTGTGGCTCAGTTGGTTGGTCCTGTACATCAAAAGGTTGCAGGTTTAATTCCCAGTCAAGGCACATACTTTTGTTGGGATGCATCCGGCTATGGGATTAATGTTTCTCCCTCCCCCTCTCCCTCTCTCTCTTCCTCTCTCTAAAAATCAATAAGCATGTCCTTGGGTGAAGATTTAAAAAATAAAAAAAAAACTTGGTAAATATTTAATTGTTGGGAAAACAGATTTTGGTGCTTCCCAATTGAGACCTTTTGGTATTCAGAAACACAGTCAAAAAAAGAAATGAATCTTGGGAAACTTGGTTGCCTTTATACACATAATTTGACATTGGTTAAGTCGAAATTTATGACTGAACAATAATTTTGTTTATATAGTTTCTGGATGGTAGTAGAGCTTCTCTTCTCTATTAGGAAAATTAGCCCCCAAAAGAGGAGCTATGCACTTTGGTTTCTTCAAAGGGGTAAGCTTTATTGATTTCTTCAGATTTTATGTGTTAGAAAATCCTAAATTTAAGAAAATTCTATAAATTCATTTACTGTAAAGCATACTCTTCAGGTAATGAGACCAAAATCTTATTGTGTATTTTCATTTAAAACTTTTAGTTTTTACTCAGAGAGGAAGGGGGGAGGGAAAGTTGGGAGAGGGAGAAGGAGAGAGAAAGAGAAACATCCATTGGTTGCCTCCCTCATGCACCCTTTGGTGTATGGCACCACGCTCCAACCAACAACCATACTGGACAGGGCTTCATTTAAAACTTCTGAGGCAGTAAACTTGCCATGGTTTTTTGGATTAGAATATTATGTCTCAATTTTCTCTAAAAGTCAGCTATGGAAATGGTCACATAGTTTTGTCATAGAGACAGTTTTGAGTATAAAGCTAAGGGATGAGAAAGTAAAAGTATTTAAAGTGAATGAAAATAAGAATCTTTAAATTATAAACCGAAATTTGTATGCTATATTATTAAAAATGGAACAATAGGATTTATCAGAACTTTGATGCAATTTATAAAAAAGGGACTTTGCAAATAGTAATTTTTTTCCTCTGGTTCATTTTAAGAGTTGTAAGTTGATTATGGCTTTGAGATGACTTTATTATTTCTAAATTTTCCTCTGTGTGTCATTTTCTTTTTACTTTTGATCATACTTAATTGCCTTAAAATTCTTTTTGGCTCCTATTGCAGTATCCTCAGTTTTCTTCAAAGTTTCTCTTTGCCGTGGTTGCTCTTTTTCTCCTCCTCATCCCAACTTTGCATCCTTTTTTTTTCTCTTTCTTATTTATTTAATATGCTTGAATAGGATTCTCTGGAAATATTAACCTTACAAGGATAAGTAAACCCTGCTACTTTCCTAGTTCTACTATCTACTCCAAAATCTAGCCTTCGCATAGAATTCATAGGTGAAAGATGATAGTAGAAGTGATAAAGTATGGAACCAGGACTAGGATCGGAGGATATTCAAGTTTTCCCTCTCTGACTAGAGTCAGTGTTTTCAGCTAGCACACCAGTCTTCATAGCTATTCTCTTCCCAGTGCTTTTCAAAGGTTGTATGATTTGTCTCACAAAAGAGTTTTCCGAAAAATCAGCTCATCACACATTTGCCATATGACACTAAATTTGACAGAATAATCTTTGCTTTAGTTCTACATACTAGTATATTAGTATATCTTTCACAACTTAACATAAAACTATAAACTAATTAGCCTTGCAAGCTCAGCTTATCTTTTAAATATTATTTATCTTCTGGATTGTAACTCTAATTGTGACTCTTAAAATTACTGTTAAAAATTATTTAACTTATTTTTTATTATAAAATGGCCTTCTGAATATTAGACCCTTTTTTTTATTACTTTGTGGTGGTAACATTATACATACATATATATGTGTGTGTATCCCTAACTAGAACTGAATGAGGACATATGTAGCACTATTTAAAAATTTTAGGATAGAAGTTTTAAAATGTTCATATAAAAATAAATAAGCTTTGCATTGAGAAGCTTTTGTTTACATGTGTACAGTACAGTAGATATTTACTGTATTATAAATGAAAACAGAAAAAATTTAAGATATTAATTTAAATAACAAGATAAACCTATTACATGTTAGCATAAATAATTTGTGAAAAACAACTTTTTTGAGACATTTGTGAGAAGAGTGGCATTGGTTTACATATAGATCTCTTTAATGAATTATTATTTATTTATTATTTTTTAAATCCTTACCAGAGTAAGGATATTTTTTCCATTGATTTTTAGAGCGAGTGGATGGGAGGGGGAGGGGAAGAGGGAGAAAGGGAGAGAGGAGAGAGAAACAATGATGTAAGAGAGACATCAATTGGTTGCCTCCCACATGCACTCCAACCAGAGGGGAGGGATCAAACCTGGAACCTGCAACCCAGGGTAAGTGCCCTTGACTGGGAATTGAACCTTGACCCTCGGGTGTGCAGGCCTATGCTTTAACCATTGAACCATTTGGGTGAATTACTGTTTAATAGAAAACATCTAGAGTCTTTTATCTGCCTCTGCTGTATTAAGTTCTTTTGGCTGAAATAAACAAAGAAAATAAAATCTGGTCTTGCACAGATATGTAGATGGTGAGGGGAGGAATATTTTAATAGCCTTTTCTGATAATTGGGGATCTTTGCTTCTGTACCATAAGTCAACAAGCAGTAGTTTCTTAAAGGTTAAGTTACAGTATGGAATCTGAAATCAAATTTTTTAATATATTTGGTCTTTTGCTCTTTTACCCATGCATAATTTGTAACATGCATTGATGATTGAACTTGTTCGTTCACTGTGTTGTGCAAATCTTGACATATTTTATCATATAGTAATCTTCCCACTAAAAAACCCCCACATTTATTATTATCACCACTTTTCTCACTAAAAGTCTTTAATTAATGGGAAGTTATCAAGCTCTTAAATGACAATGTTTTCCAAAGGTCTAGTTTTCACCCCAAAACTCAACTTTTATCATTGGGAAGAAATACTGTTTTTTCTCTTGAAGTGATAGGCTCATTTTATTCATTTTCAAGAAAATCTCTGCCAGATACCTAAATCGAAATGGCCATAGTTTTTTTACTTGTTCTTTCAAGTAACAATGGTGTTCCATGACAAAAACAGCTGGTTCGTTTCAGCTTGCAACTCAGTCACATAAGCGTTTTTCCTCTAGGCAATTGTCTGCTGGTATGTGGCAGAAGTGCTGTGTGTTTACTTCCTATTTTATCATTAAAGGATCAAGATTTAATAAAATGAATACTTGTTACTGCTTCATCAAGAACATTCTTAAATGAAACTGGCTACCCCCAGTTTGATGTGGTGGTGAGAGGAATACAGACTCAACAACACAGTTCGGTACTATGTGTTGCCTTGCTTGATTCCTGCTAAGTTTCCAGCAGCCTCACCATTGCTTTTGCAGTGCAGTGGTTAACATGGTGCCAAAAGCAAGTAACATCTCAGTATTATTATGAAAATCGTATTGACCTCATGGATGCCCTGAAAGAGTCTTAGTGATACCCAGGTTTCTGTCCACCACATTTTGAAAACTAATGCTACAAGATGGCTTTGATTACTGCTCTGCTATTTTAAAAAAAATGCATTTAATTATCTAAGGAAGAATGAATTACAACTCTCTCATTTTATGTCTTTACCTATCATTTTAATAATTGTAATTTTGCCTTTGAAATAGGAAAAATGCCATATTTATTTATATTTTTTATGATTTCAGAGAGGAAGGGAGCGGGAGAGAGATAAAAACATCAACGATGAGAGAATCATAGACTGGCTGCCTCCTGTACTATCCCCTACTGGGGATTGAGCCCACAGCCCTGGCATGTGTCCTGACCAGAAATCAAACCTTGACCTCCTGGTTCATAGGTCGATGTTCAACCACTGAGCCACACTGGCCAGGCAAAAATGCCATTTTAAAATAAAAGTATGCATGAGAATACATGCTTGGCTTTATATTTCTGTGCTGCTTTCTTTTAAATAGCACATTTTATAATTGTGGGCCCAGACTAAAGAACTCATTCTACTCAGACACTGAGTAGCTTTGTTTCTGACAGCAGTAGTCAGCTCTCTGTTTTAAAACAATCACTTGGATGCTGCTGGCTCAACTTGCAGTTGTCCTAGTCCTAACCCTGTCAGCCAAAGACTTGTTGGAAAGCCCACACAAAGGCCTTGTGTACAGGGAGCCCTGCTAATAAGGAGTGTGTTCTAGTCCCAGCAGATTAAATCTGCTTTGGTGTGCATTCCCTTCCCAGATTTCTTACTTATTTCCTTTGTTTGCCCTGTTATTTCAGTGAAAGGTTATTTTTAATATATACGAATATAGTTTCTTGTAATTATTACATAGTGCAAGTGGAGATTACTGGAATAACATAAAATGTTTATTTCTCTATGGTAGGATGTGATGGAGCTGCTTGAAGAAGATCTTACGTGCCCAATCTGTTGCAGTCTGTTTGATGATCCTCGAGTTTTGCCTTGCTCTCACAACTTTTGCAAAAAATGCTTAGAAGGGATCTTAGAGGGGACTGGGCGGAACTCATTGTGGAGGTCATCTCCATTCAAGTGCCCCACATGCCGTAAGGAAACTTCAGCCTCTGGAGTCAATAGCCTGCAGGTTAATTACTCCCTGAAGGGTATTGTGGAGAAGTATAACAAGATCAAGATCTCTCCAAAAATGCCAGTGTGCAAAGGACACTTGGGGCAGCCTCTCAACATTTTCTGCCTGACTGATATGCAGCTGATTTGTGGAATCTGTGCTACACGTGGTGACCACACCAAACATGTCTTCTGTTCTATTGAAGATGCCTATGCTCAGGAAAGGGATGCCTTTGAGTCCCTCTTTCAGAGCTTTCAGACCTGGCGTCGGGGAGATGCTCTTTCTCGTTTGGATACCTTGGAAACTAACAAAAGGAAATCTCTACAGTTACTGACTAAAGATTCAGATAAAGTGAAGGAATTTTTTGAGAAGTTACAACACACATTAGATCAAAAGAAGAATGAAATCCTTTCTGACTTTGAGACCATGAAACTTGCAGTTATGCAAGCCTATGACCCAGAGATTAACAAACTCAACACCATCTTACAGGAACAACGAATGGCCTTTAACATTGCTGAGGCCTTCAAAGACGTGTCAGAACCAATCATATTTCTGCAACAGATGCAGGAATTCAGGGAAAAAATAAAAGTAATCAAGGAAACTCCTTTACCTCCCTCTAATTTGCCCACAAGCCCTTTAATGAAGAACTTTGATACCAGTCAGTGGGAAGACATAAAACTAGTAGATGTGGATAAACTTTCTTTGCCTCAAGACACTGGCATACTCATTGGCAAGATTCCCTGGAGCTTTTATAAGTTTGTAGTAGTCATTCTGCTTGGCCTTCTCATTTTCTTCGGTCCTACTATATTCTTAGAAAGGTCTTTATTTGATGAGTTCTCAACCTGGAAAGACCATCTTTCACACTTCAGTTCCTATCTGACTAAATCGCCTGATTTTGTAGAACAATCAGTTTTTTACTGGGAACAGGTGACAGATGGGTTTTTCATTTTCAGTGAAAGATTCAAGAATTTTACTTTGGTGGTCCTGAATAATGTGGCAGAATTTATGTGCAAATATAAACTATTATAAAATCTATTTTAAGTGCATAGTTCTCTTTTTTTTGTTAGACATTTGTTAGAGAACAGAGTGGTAGTTCAGATTTGGTCAAAGATTCCAGTCAGATACTTTCCTTCAAAAGTAATATCTTACATATGCCTTTCAAATTAGGTAGTATAAAGATAAAAGTGAAATTTAACTGTACAGTCCTGAACCCTCCTTTTTTAAAGAGTGCTTTTGAAATAAGTATCATACTCCCCAATATTGTGTTTATGCTATGTAAAAAGGGGAGGTGAGAGAGCACATGATGTAATATTGTATTGATGAGGTAATGTAATAGTGATTGAATCTAATAAAGACTACTCTTGTAAAGCAACTTTTTTTTTTTAAAGGAAACAGGTGGATTGGATTTCCAGATTTTTCTGCCAAGGGTAGATTTTCTTTTTTGCTAAAGTGTAAATCATATAAAGTGCAAATAAAAAGTGGCATTTTCTTGTGATAAGTGTACATTTTTAAGAGGGTGGAGATTTTAGCTTGCCTTTTTCTCCTTAGGTATTATAAATTTATCACTAAAGGAGTTTGGTAATAAACTACAGAAGTGTTAGGTGGCTGTACAAACGAAAGCATAGGTTAAAAAAAGTAACATGGTAAAAGCAGGAAATGGGAAAGCCTCCTTTTACTGACAGCTAAGTGTGGGTTGTCCCAAAGTATCCTGGCAACCGTACAACCAAGCAAACCACTTGCTTGAAGAATTTAAGAGTAGTAAGACTTGACAATAGAGAAAACAATCTGTCAGCTACTATAAAGTACAAAGTAATCATTAAACATTAATGCTGTCCTATCTGTTCACATGAGGTAAAGATACCCTATCTCCCAAAGAATACTTAATTTCCTTGTTTAGAATTCAAGGAAAACAAGAGTGAGCTTATCTTAGAACTGCTCTCCGGTATAACTTACATCTGTCATAGAACAAGACATTTCTTTGAAAGCCCAGAGTGTCTTTACCCCAGTCCTTTAATTTGGTTGAGAAGAGATAATACAAGGGAAATAGGAAAAAAAGATGGCAATGCAATTTAAAGTACAGAAGAATCATTGTAGTTATGAGAAGAGTCAAGTTAACCTGCTAGTTGAGGTAATGGCTGTCTCATCCTTAACTGACAATTTGTGATTGAAATTGCTAAAGGGATCATAAGAAATGACAATGTTTCTCTAAATCTTAACCACTGCCATGAGGATTCAGTGGATAAGCGGTCTGGGGAGGAGGAGTACTTTTCTGCTCCCAGTATTTTTTTTTTTTAATAGAGATTTACAGTAGCTTTTCATGGAGAATTTTTTATGGAATACAGGAAAGGGATCTTGACACCTATCCTTATATATTGTCAGTTTTTCTTAAACTGTCTAGTTTCTCATCTGTTGCTTTTTTTATTTTGTGTACTGTAAGTTCCCAAGCAACTCAAATTTGCAAACACAACTATGGATACACTATTTGCTTTACAGTAGTTACCTGGAAATCTAGGTCTTTGTTTTTTTGTTATTTTCTCCTCTCTCCACTTAATCATATATAACTAGCAACATTTATGGTTATAGTTTGATTTACAAGTTCTTAAGTTTGTGGCGGAAGGTTTGTAGCCTCTAATCTGAGGCAAGGGAAGAATGAGTGGTCAGAAACTGGTCACTCTGAATGTGGGAGGGAAGATATTCACAACAAAATTTTCTACCATAAAGCAGTTTCCTACCTCTCGGCTAACACGAATGTTAGATGGCAGAGACCAAGAATTCAAGATGGATGGTGGCCAGATTTTTGTCGACAGAGATGGTGTTTTATTTAGTTTCATCTTAGATTTTTTGAGAACTCAACGGCTTATATTACCTACTGATTTTTCAGACTATCTTAGGCTTCAGAGAGAGGCTCTTTTCTATGAACTTGATCCTCTGGTTGATCTCTTAAACCAAGAACTCCTGCTACAGCCAAGACCTGCTCTTGTGCAGGTGTATTTCCTAAGCCGAAACACTCAAGCTTTTTTCAGGGTGTTTGGCTCTTGCAGCAAAACAATTGAGATGTTAACTGGGAGGATTACAGTGTTTATAGAGCAACCTTCAGCACCAACCTGGAGTAGTAACTGCTGCCCTCCTCAGATGACCTTACTTCCACTACCTCCACAAAGACCTTCTTACCACGACCTGGTTTTCCAGTGTGGCTCGGACAGCATTACTGATAACCAAACTGGAGTCAGGTATTTTGTACTTTGAAGCATCTCTCTTCTATATCAGTTCCTGATGTTTCCCCCCAAAACAAAGTTTCTCATGTCTACAACTTTTCTTGGAATAAATTATGACTCAATGTTTTGGGGTAGCCAGTAGAGTTGGGCAGAATGACCAGATAATTATTGTCCAAACTGGGGTACTTTTCAGAGTGAAAGAGGGTTTTGTTATTATGTGGGACAATAGGAATAAACCAAGACTGTCCAGGGAAAACTGGGACTGTGGTCACTAAAGTTGTAGGAAGAAATAATTTTATAGAAAATGTTCCATTGCTAGTAAATTTGGCTTAGGAATAAAACTTTTTTTTTAACCCCTAATAATGGCTGGGATATAGTGAAGGCTCAATCGTTTATCCTGATCTCCTCATACTTTATGTATATTTGCTTTTTCAGGCCTTATGATTTGACTACTGATTTTTCTCCATTCTACTTTATTTTTAAACACCATTAAGGCAGATAATCCATGGCAAATCTGGTATCCTTTTACATCTTTGGCACTCTTAGACAACTCAAACTATTGGTATAGGCTGTCAGTATGTTAAGGATAGTTGCTCCTGAGTCAATTACTTTATCCCCCTACTGTTCTTGACTGGACCCTATGGCTAATTTCCACTCTGCTGTCAGTATCTTTTTCCCCCTTAAAATTATCTTGTCCCACCATTATTTTACTAGCTGTGAAAATTGGCTTCGATTTTCAGGAGGAAGAAAAAGTCTCCATATTTTTTTTTACATGTAGTATATATAATAAAAGCATAATATGCTAAATAGACCAGATTGCCGATCGACCTTCCAGACAAAGCCGCAGCAGCAGGGGCCGAGGCAGACGCGGTTAAGGGCGATCAGGCAGGCAGGCAGGCAAGTGAGCAGTTAGGGGCGATCAGGCAGGCAGGTGAGCAGTTAGGGGCAATCAGGCAGGCAGGCAGGATAGTGGTTAGGAGCCAGCGGTTCCAGATTGCGAGAGGGAAGTTCAAGGGGTCCCAGATTGCGAGAGGGTGCAGGCCGGGCTGAGGGACAACGCCCCCCCCCCCCCCCCCCGCACAGATTTCGTGCACCAGGACTCTAACATAAAATTACTTTTTTGGGACATAATGGTAGGCATATTTGGGGATATTTTCTTAACTTCAGCAGCAGCCATCAGGAACTACCAATGTTTGCCCATCCACAAGACACCCCTCGGTCTTGCAACTGGGGAACACTGAGCAGTATAATTCTTAACTTATTATACTTCATAATTCCTGCCCTTGCAAAGAGGTTGAAATGTCATTTTGGGAGAAGAGAGCCAGTTAAATTAATAGGCTGATTGTGAATAAAAGTAAGACCCTCTCATCTCAAATGGTTTTAAGATAACTCTATGCACAACATTCTTTTTGTTGGTGGGGCACTAACATAAATAGAGAGGAAATGACCAGTTTTTTGGTTTTTAAAATTTGAGTGATTAAGATCTTTGAGTATCCCTTTTGTAAAAGGGATCCTAAGGAAACCTAAGAAAAAGTGGTGTTATTGGTTTTAAGAAGAAACATGCAAGGTAAAAAATGATATCCTGGAAATACTTAAATGCTCTTTAAAAACTATGCAGTTGGAGAAAATAATTGTAATCTTGAAAAACAAGATTAGAAACTCAGGTTGGGACATCCTTGCATGTTCACAGTATCAAGTGGTTTCCCCTTTGTTATTAAAGTGTTTGTGTTTTAGAAATATTACAAAATCTTTTCATCTTAATGTGAGAATGGTATTAAACTTCCAAAATAGATAATTCCCAAAACAGTAGCTAGTTTTAAAAGTTGAAAGCTTTTTTTCATCCCCAAATAGTATTCTTTTCAGTTGAAGTTCAGAATTTTTTCTATCCCAGAATGTTTGATTTTATTTACTTTTACTTTATAGTGCCGTTTTCAAAGTAGAGACAGATAACCTGAATAAGGTGACATTATTGGGATTTCAGATGACTAGATGAAACCTCCAGGCTTAAAAGATCCACCTTAGATGACTGCCTAGCTGGCAATCATTTTTATTTCTTGCTCACTCCCTGGTCTGAATCTGTCCATTCAGTTGTTTTTTGAAGGTGGAAAGTGGAGAATAAGCCTGAATGGCTTCTAGGAGTCTGGTGTGTCATCCAGTTGTTTGGTATGTTCCACTAATGTAATTTACTACTCTAAGTTTTGTTAACCTGACAGGTTGCTCAGTTATTATCTCTCAAGTTCACAGTACTAGAAATACTTGGCTTGCATCTTGCAGATGTGGTAACATTATCAAGCTCAAGTTATGGTCATAGGATTCTAGACCATAAAATCCCAGTAGCCTTTTATTATATCTCACTTTTCCTTTTTTTAAACTGGGTCAAATGGAAAAGTGTAACTGCTTTTTAAGTTTTTAAAATACGTTTTGTTTTCTATTTCTCATTGGTTTCTTCTATCCTTTTCTGGTGCTGTGAAACTGTCATTTCTCAATTTGGCTTCAGAGGGAATTAAGTAGTTTGGCTCAGTGATTTCTTGCAAGTGCATTCCACTTTGTTATAACCTCTAGTATACTATTTGTATCTTTATTTTGTGAGATGCTCTATAACTGTTTTTCTCGTTGAAAAATGTTCCTACGCTATATAATTAAGATCTGGGACTTGGGGGTAGATGGAATGATTTACTACGGTTAAAAATTTACTATATCAGACATAATAAACATTTTTTTAAAAATCCTCACCTGAGGATATTTTTAAAGTTGCTTTTGCAGAGAGAGTGGAAGGAAGGGAGAGGGAGAGAGAGAGAAATATTGATGTGAAAGACACACATCGATTGGCTGATTCCCATATGTGTCCCTACCAGGACCGGGGCCGAGGATCGAACCTGAAACCCAGGTACATGCCATTGTCCAGGAATGGAACCTGCAACCCTTCAGTCCGTGGCCTGACACTCTAATCCCTGAGCCACACTGGCCAGGGCAATAAACATTTTTTTGATATGTACTTTGTAGTTTTACAATTCTTACATTTTATTATTGAATTGCTTTCTTCGCCTAGAATGAGCTTTAGAATGTGAACTACAATAAGCCACTCTATTTCAATCATAATTAAAAGGCTAGGGATGTCCCTAAGGCTCTTTTTATCGCATAAAACTGCAGATAGTTTAGGTTGCAGCCTAGAACTAATTTAAGTTGGCCTCTTCTTCCCATCTCATAAACAAATGGTGGGAGGACACAAAGACATAAAAATACCCTTGATGATAAATAAAGAAGGAGTAATACAGCTATATCTATTGAATATGTTATATTGACATTATTAAAGCCAACATATAACCAACCTGAAAAGTTCAGATACATTTTTCTATAATTATTTAGATTGGTTCTATCAAGTTTCCCAGGAAATAGGCAGAGGCTTTTTGACCCCATGTTTTACTTTGCAATATTTAGACAGTTATTGAGTAAAACTTGACAATAAAGTCTTCTTGATATTTTATATCTGCAAAATTTACCTGGAGAAAATGCGTTTGATAGTAATAAGTCATAAAAGAAAATGTGTAATATCAGTGCTGAAAATGTGTAATATCAGTGCTGGTAAATTAAATCTAGGGGGAAAATTGTAAATGTATAATGTTCATTAAAATGACTAAATCAATTAATTAAATTATTTAATTAAAACAATGTTTAGTAAATGTAATAGTTTGACCAAATTGTTTGCTCCAGAAAATAGTTTCTCAACGAAAATCCATCAGTGCCAGTTACATTCCTAAGTGTAGAATTAAAATGACTTTGGAAATCATAGTAAGATATCTATTTTCAGTACCCTGAAATTACTGATGTGGATTTATAAATGAAGTGTCAAAACAAAATCTGATGAAAATGGGTATGATGCATTTATGAGTGGTTATAAGTCAAATTTATGTGTTTAGTTTTGCTAGTTATTAAAGGGATGCTTTATAATTAAATGTGTGTGTTTTTTTTTTTGTTCTAGGTATGTTTCTATAAAACCTGATAGTCGAAAATTGGCCAATGGAACTAATGTTCTCGGCTTACTCATTGACACTTTATTAATGGAAGGCTTCCATCTGGTTGGTAATAGAACAGTATCCTCTGAAGACAAAACTGAATGCTATAGTTTTGAAAGGATAAAAAGGCCTGAAGCTCTCGCCATGAACAAAACTGTGAAACCAGAGACTGCCATCATGCCAGGGCAATCTCAGAAAAAGAAATGAGTTTTTTGTTCTCTTTTAGAGTAAAGGGAAATTGCCATTTTCTTGTCTCCTGCCATGCCATCTCTGGGCAACCACACCTCAACAATGCTTAAGCCACTCTAACTGCTTGCTGCTTTCTGAACAACACTGTGCACTTGGTGCTTTGCCACATATTCCTTCTACCTTCAATGCCTCTTTCCATTTCTCTTTTTCATTAACATTTATATAGCTTTCAAGAATGGATTCTGGAATCATGCTGATTGATTTCTAATCCCAGCTTAATCACTTACTAGCTAGATGGCTTGGGCAAGTCATTTAACCTATTTGTGCCTCAACTTCTTCATCTATCAAATGGGGATAAAAATATATATATTTTATAGGATATATGAGAATTAAAGGAGATAATATACTCAACACATTTCCTGGCATATGGTAAGCACTCAGTAACTATTAGTGATGATGATGATGAAGATGGCTCCCTTTCCTCTGTATGGACTTACATGCCATTATAAAAACAAATTTTTCTCACTTGAATATGAGCTTCATCTACTCAATAGTGTTAACATTACTATGTGTAAAGTACTGTGCTAAATATTTAGTGAGAAGAATAATATATGTTACTAATTAGCATCTACATTTGATCAAAACCTTTATGAATAACTTCTACTAACATTTAAATCAGCGGTTCTCAACCTGTGGGTCGCGACCCCTTTGGCGATTGAACGACCCTTTCACAGGGGCCGCCTAAGACCATCCTGCATATCAGATATTTACATTATGATTCATAACAGTAGCAACATTACAGTTATGAAGTAGCAACGAAAATAATTTTATGGTTGGGTCACAACATGAGGAACTGTATTTAAAGGGCCAGAAGATTGAGAACCACTGATTTAAATACACATATACTTGACTTAGTGATTCCTCTTGTAGGAATTCTTACATATGTATCATTTTAAATAGGATAAACATTTAGAAGAGGAATCATTAAGTCAAAGAGCACCAAGTACTTTGTACATAGTAGGATTAAAAAACCATAGAGTGGAAGCAGTTGAGCACCATTTTAAAAAGTACAATTAATTCATTCAAAAACATCTGTTAAACATTTGTTGGACACTATACTAAGTTTTCAGGATAAAAAAATGAGTAAGAAAGAAATTATTATTCTCAAGGAGATCACATTCAACTGATAATCATCATAACAGCAAAAGATCAGAAATACACTCAAAGTTCATCAATAGGGAATGGGTAAATTATGGTTCATACAATGAAATACTATGCAACTCTTAAAAAGAATAGAGCAGCAGTTCATAAACTGATAAGGAAGGATTGTCATATTTATAAGGGGAAAATGTGCAGAACAATGTATAATGTTGAAAAAGAGCCCTAATTGGTTTGGCTCAGTGGATAGAGCATCGGCCTGTGGACTGAAAGGTCCCAGGTTCGATTCCAGTCAAGGGCAGGTAGCTGGGTTGCGGGCACATCCCCAGTAGGGGGTGTGCAGGAGGCAGCTGATCGATGTTTCTAACTCTCTGTCCCTCTCCCTTCCTCTCTGTAAAAAAAAAAAAAATCAATAAAATATATATTTTAAAAAAGAATAAAAAAAGAAAAAGATATATTTCCACTTTATAGTTTCCATTTGTGAAAAAATATACTCATTTTCTTATATATCCATGAAATTGTCAGCAAAGATCCAGGTCACCTGTGGAGAGGGAACTGGGTGAGTGGGGTTTAGGCATGGGAGAAAGGCTTTTTTTTTCACCAGACCATGTAAAAGTATTAGCTATTTTAAAAAAAGGAAGAGCCATACCTGAAAGACAGTATGCAAAGTAAGGGGGACTCTTATGGCATATTATGGCCCATTACCTCCCATTGACACAAATTTTACCATCCTTCCTGTGAAACTCCTCCACTTAGTAAAAAAAATGTATTCCAGACATTTCTAGTAATTACTTACAGATTTGTGTACTAGGTTGTAGGGAAGAAATAATTTTTTAAAAAAATTTCCCAACAGTATCTGAAAAGATTATGTCTATTATAAAAGTGCAAAATACTTTAAGACTAGTAATGTTAAGGTTAGCAACTGAAAATAATGACCCAAATAAGAAAAAAAGCTTTATGAACCAAGTGTTTTGATTTTGGTGGCATTCTCTTTTCTGCAGAAAAGCCAACTTAGTTGTTTTAGTGCGTCATCTTAGTTTTGGGGATGATGTGTTTGGTCTGGTTCCCTTGCTAGCATCATATTCTAGGGCACAATATTTCTATTCTGTTAAGTTTTTGGCATGTATATGATTTAACCAGTTGAGTATAGTTGACATGGTTATATATGTAACACTATTTAATTCTCTATAGTGTTTTGCTAGTAAGATTATTAAAAACTGATAACTGGTTAAAATACTGAAACAAGAAATATTGTAACAGGAAATATTTAAACTGCTATTAATGTGTTTAGTCCAGCCGTGGGCAAACTACGGCCCGCGGGCCGGATCCGGCCCGTTTGAAATGAATAAAACTAAAAAAAAAAAAAGACCGTACCCTTTTATGTAATGATGTTTACTTTGAATTTATATTAGTTCACACAAACATTCCATCCATGCTTTTGTTCTGGCCCTCCGGTCCAGTTTAAGAACCCATTGTGGCCCTCGAGTCAAAAAGTTTGTCCACCCCTGGTTTAGTCATTCACATTTGCAGAAAACTAGTTTGATGAGAAATGTTCTTATTAATGCACTAATAGAAACATATTACCTGTGGAAACATATAATATACATAACATTTATTAATTCATTCAATAAATATTTATTGGCATCTGCTATGTGCCAAATACTATTCTGGACATTGGAGATACTGCAAGGAACAAAGCAATGCCTTCCCTTCTAGAGCTTACTATAAATATAACTCATAACATTGACAATGGGTTTAAATTAAAATAATTTATCTTTTATTAAATAGTGTCTAAAAGTCATGAGTTCACAATGTAGAGATTTTTTAGGAGACAGACTGCTACACTTAAAAAATGTTCATTATAGGGAAGTGACTTTTAGAGTGGATTGAATTTCTTATTTTAGTAAATATTTTAGAGATATCATATCTGGAGACACATCTGTCAAGATCACTTCAGTAAGCCTCTGGTGTTCACTCCAAAACAAGAGTGGGACTCTGTGATTGGGATGTGAAGACATGCAAAAAATTGAGTCTTTTTTAAGAAAGGGAGGCAGGCAAATGTAGTTAGAAGGAAACAGTGATATGTTTAGATGCACCACAGGCAAATTAAAAACTTGCTTGCCTTTGAAAAATAAAGACTAACATTTTCATATGGGCACCACTTAACTCTTAACTTCTTGAATGAAATGATTTGTCAATTTTCTTTTCAATTATAAGAAAATAATGGCAGAAGTTTGTCTTGGCAAACCATGCTGAAAACTTTGTTCATCAAATCATATACACATATCAATCCATCTCATATACACAAGTATGACTCATCACAATGACATGTTAATGTTTGTCAGTCTTAACTGTACCATCAATAGTCGGGCCTCCCTTATTATCCCACTTCTCTTTTGTTTCAGCTTTTTTCCATCACCCAGTTTCATTTCTGATAAGGCACTAAAGATTTTAGCTTATTCTTGAATCTCCTTAATTTACCTTATAAGCAATTGGAAGTTCTCCCTACAAAGATTTTCTGAAAAAGAAGCTCTAGTGTTGAATTTTACTCTTGGATTTAATATATGTCATAATTAGAGTTCAGAATTAATTTGAGCTGCTTTGAAAATATATCTAAAATCAGGAGCCCAAAATAATATAAAATGGTCAAGGGAAAGCAACTCGAGAAATACATGGTTTAGGGAATAATTGCTGTTTCTAATTTGTCTTGTATACTGTTTTCATCTGACAAACTTCAGCTTCGCTTTGTAAGCTTTTGTATTGATTCTCTATCATAAATAATAGAAATGGTCACATCACCAGAGACTTTGCTGGGGGGATAATAAATGACTTGGTAAGAGCACTCTAAATCTCCCATATGCTACTGTTATTTTTCCTGTGTTGGGGAAGTTGATTCTGTAACAGTAAATTTAGCAATTTAGAGCCACTAAGGAAATTTTTTTTAAAATTTAGGAATTTTTATTACCTTTCTGGAGCCAAAGAAGCCATCAAAGAGAGTAATGTGACATCAAACTTAGTGTTTTAAACAAAACATAATTACCAGCTTTGCCACAGAACTACACCTAAAGAATTATTTGGCCTTCTAGTGGACCTACTAGAGAAGAAAAGTTCTGTACAAATTTTGCCAAAAAACTCAGCATCTCATAATTATTAAGCTTAGAAAATGCCTTAGTATTTATCTAAACTATGAGATAGATCCAACCACATGTCTTTAAATGGATAAAAAGCTAACACCTTACATGGGAAATGAGTAGTAAGCATGACATAGAACAAAAAAGCAATAACATGCAGCAAAATAAATAAGACTATGTTCCCAAAGCTAAAATGTGCCTAAGACTTGTCTAACCAGAGAGAGCTTTTAGGTAGGCAGCATTCTGCACCTGCAGATTTCATATCAGTACCTCAAAACCAGAAAACATTACTTTAAAGAGGCTTTTCCCTCTCAGTTGAGTTAAACATACCAAATATTCAGTGTTTCTATTTCATGTTATTCTCCATTTTCACACTCTGGTAAGAATTTGGAATATCTTTGGGTTCCCAAGATGGAAGCCAAACAGGATAGGTTTGTCTTACCCTTCTTGTAAAAAGAGACCCCGAGAAATTCTGGCTGCAATGTCTGAGGTTCCACAAATTCTTTTAAGATGAGGATTGGGACTGTGCTTTATTTCCCCCACAGTGCTGGACATCCAACAGTCCAAACTGAACTGAACTGAAAAATTCGGAATGCTACATTATCAGTGAACAGGCACTAAAAACAAGAATTATAGTAGATTCAAAGATGGATGAGGATACTTTATGTAAAAAGTCTGAAAGACTTGATTCAAGTAAAGACTACAGAGCATTTTTCTATTAGATGTTTTCTTGGGTGATTACAAAATGAGATGAAAATATTGATGTATATAGAAATACTAACTAGTTGAAAGTTACACAAAAGTATACATCTAATCAGTACAACAGCCCACCTAAAACGAATATACGTAACTTGCTAATAAAAAATACAATGCTACAAGAGTGCTTAGTAATTTAAAAAACATTAAAGAAATATAAGTTCAGAATGAAAGTTACATGACTATGATCGATATTAAATCTTTACTTACCTCCATAATTTAGTCATGAAAAGACAGAAGTCAGTAGATCAGACATGTAAATTAGATGTAACTAGGATAGAAATACAGGGGGGAAAATAGTTCCCATTTCTGGATAACCTGACTGGAAGTTCACTGAACTTGGATTAATCAAATGGTTCAAGGATAGAAGTGAATTAGTCTAAAGATCCTGGTATATGCCCAGAAGACATATTACTGAGTTTTTAAAAGGTTGTTTGGAAGCACAGATGAACATTTTAGGTTTCCTTATATTTCATTAAAATAGAACATAAAAAAATCAACTAAAGATGTAGAATATTCCAAAACCGGTTTGGCTCAGTGGATAGAGCGTCGGCCTGCGGACTGAAAGGTCCCAGGTTCGATTCCGGTCAAGGGCATGTACCTGGGTTGCGGGCACATCCCCAGTGGGAGATGTGCAGGAGGCAGCTGATCGATGTTTCTCTCTCATCGATGTTTCTAACTCTCTATCTCTCTCCCTTCCTCTCTGTAAAAAAATCAATAAAATATATTTAAAAAAAAGATGTAGAATAATATGGTATTTCTGTCTAACGACATGTGGCTACTTTACAGACAGGTAATCGCTAGGTAAATAGGAATTATACAAAACAATGTTTAGTTTCTAGAAAACCAAAATATTTGCTTTTAATTAATTAAACAATTTTTAAAATTGTTTTCCCTTTGGTAACTTTTTAAACACCTGCCTACAATTTAAGCAGTACTGAGTTCCTATTTGATTATTTTTGGCTAACCCTTTTCTTCAGAAGCAAGCCCAATTTAGGGTAAGGAGAAGGAAAAGTTCCAGATCTCTTAGAACCTTCATTTCCTCTTAACATGTTTCTCCATCAAAAACAAGTATTCAAATAAGGAATCTCAATTATCTAAACCATTTTTGGCCAACTCTGGAATTTCTTGTTATACCACCTTTGAAATGCTACAGTTGTACTCTTGAAAAACCTGTCTTCCTGGTTTTCAAATTTCTGTTTATTATTACACTTCTTCAGCCAGAATGCCAGTTCTTTGTGCTGTACTGTTTCTTGAAACTAGAGACCAGCACATTTCCCACAATTCAATTATTTGCCTTTCCATTTGCTAAATTAAAGCCATGTCAATTTTACAAAGTTTTAATTGATTGAATTATTTGGATTTTAAATTCTCAATTTCATTCCTTCAGTCTAATAGTGGGAAAGATCTTTGTTTTATTAATGGAAGTAGAGGTTAAGGTTCAAGAATATGAACACATTTTAGTCATTGACCCTCATAACTGATTTTCTTACAGGCATAATAAGCTTGAGATATGACACTCCAAGAAAAAAAATGAAGAATTTTAATTCAATTTTGGAAATGTTTATTTAAGATTACATACTTAGTCAAATAATTTATTTACATAAACATGTGTTTACATATTTAATTTATTATTTTTAAAATATATTTTTATTGATTTCAGAGAGAACGGGAGAGGGAGAGATAGAAACATCAATGATGAGAGAGAATCACTGATCAGCTGCCTCCTGCACACCCACTACTGGGATCAAGCCTGCAACCCGGGCATCTGCCCTTGACCGGATCCAAATCTGGGACCCTTCAGTCCGCAGGCCAATGCTCTATCCACTGAGCCAAACCGGCTAGGACTACATATTTCTTTTTAAAGTAAGGGATCTTGTCCATAACAAAGAGCTTCAGATAGCTTGTCCACCCTTATCAGCTTTATGTGGATACTGACAAATTTACCTCTCCAGAATGACTTTTACATAGAATTCTCGTTCTATATATTCACAACCTTTAATCGAAGCATTTCAAATGAAATTCCTGCATATTGTCTTAAATTCAGTATGACAAAAATGGGACTCAGCATCTTCTCAAACCAGCTTCTCAACTGTCCACTTTCAATGATACCATGATTGTCTAGTACAGAACATTTATTTTTTGACACCACCCTTTTATCCAACTCATTGTGATGTTCTATACTTTTTCCTTTTGAAATATCTTTTATTCTTTCATCTCCATTCTCATTGCCACTATTCTGTCCGAGATTTCTTCACTCCTAGATTACTAAAATAGTCACATGCCCAGTTTCCTTACCACTAGACTTTATTTCTTAGAATCTTTCTATATATAGTACTGCCACATTTGATTTCCAAAAATTCCATTACTTTGTCAACTTCCACTGTTATTTCAAGATGCTGGGTTATGCTAACTTCATGCCATATCAAGACTAAAATCCTCTAATTGGTTTTCCAGGCAAAGGTCCAATAACTTAATAATGTAGTTATCCAAATTCATGTAACCTTTTGTCTAAGGTTTTAAGACAAAGGTTTCAAGTTATTGCATTGTATTTTGACTTAAATTCTCACCCACAAACCAGTCCTCTACTTGACAACTCAGTGTATCTTAATTTACAAGCATACAGACCACAAATTACAAAATGAAGACATTTTTTTTTCTATCGAGTCAGCAGAGACAATTTTCTAATCCCCCTGTAATTCCCAAAAGATACTTACAGATTTGTGTTGAGGGATATTCTCAGTGGCATTTATTGCCCTTTGCTACAGTGGTCTATTGTCAGAAACTGCTCAGAACAGACAATGTCTGTAGCTTCCAATCTCAATCCTTCCTTCATGTGCCTTAGGTGTCAAAATATATGCCTAGAAAACAGGTTATAAAGTAAATCAATATATGGGGAAACTGCTTTACCATAGGAACCATTATTTAATTGCTGGTTAAATTCCTGACTTTTGACTAAAAGTTAAGTATAATTTATACCTAGATTCTGGAAAAACATGTCCTATAGATTTTAGATAAAAGCTTGGGGCACCTAATTTTTTAAAAAAATCACAATATGATAACAATGAAAGCAATTGCTGCATATTTGATCCACAATTTTCTATGCCTTCTTAGATTTCTTAAACCTTTTTTTGGTGTAATTTAGTCTCTAATAAAATTATCCAAAGTTTCTAAGAAAAGCTATTCCACTCAATAAGATAGCTCCAGTAAGAAGTCAGAAGCATACCATTTTCTTTAGAGACTCACTTTAAAGAACTGCAGCCGAGCCTGGCCAGTGTGGCTCATTGGTTGAACATCGAACTATGAACCAAGAGGTCACGGTTCTATTCCTGGTCAGGGCACATGTCAGGGTTGTGGGCTCTATCCCCAGTAAGGGGCTTGCAGGAAACAGCCGATTGATGATTCTCTCTCATCGATGTTTCTATCTCTCTCTCTTCTCTTCCTCTCTGAAGTCAATCAAAATATATTTATTTTAAAAAGAACTGCAGCTGATACTCAATACATTTGTTTTTTTTACTATGGTAATGTTATTTCTTGAAAAGTGTTTTTTAATGTAAGGACTTTTCTTTCTACTATAGTCAATCTCCTCAGACACACAAATAAAGGCCAACAGAAAACAAACTATATTCAGAAAGCTTTAGGTGATGTTAGATCACTAACAAGCCTCAAAAAGGAATATTAAAATTTCACCGGTCTTCCAACTATTCATACCCCATCCATAGGTTTCTGACTTTAAAATTTTTTAAAAGGACACTGTAAGGTAGCTAAAACTTGAGGTATGAACGTAAATGCGTAGTATAGAATGAGAAGAACCTCAATATGTGGTAAAAGGCAGAGAACTCCTAAACTACCAGGAAATGAGCATTACATTTATCTAGCTGGTACTCTTTTCAGAATATATTTTATCATAAAGCCATTTCTGCTGATTTTCAGCACTCAATTGCCATTTATCAAACACCTGCTATGTTAGGCTGGCAAAGTACATAATAAAACATGATAGTCCCTGCTTATAAGGGACTATCATTGTTCTAAGGTATAGAAGCACAAAAGAAAAATGATATTTGTGGCTGAAGAGGAAAATGAACTAGGAAAATTTCATGCAGAGAATAGAAAGCCTAAGATTTAGAAAGTTGAAGATGAGGGAAAGGACATTGTAGGAGTAGATAACTTGAGCTAAGGCTTGGATGCAAATTAGAATGGTTTGGAAAAGGAATGTTTCTATTTAGCTTAAAAATACTTTGGTATTAATTCACAATCATTCCCATAGTGTAAAGGTCAATCTTACTAGGGCAAAAAATATCCTGATAGAATTTTTCTCTGCAACTTTTTCAATATTTCTAACTTGATTTGCTTAGTTAAAAGCCATAGATCCTCTAATGTCCAGGATAAAATTGTCTAATGTAAGCCTAGATTTCCTTCCAATATTTCTTTTTTTAAATCCTCACCTGAGGATATGGTGTTGTGTTTTGTGTGTGTGTGGTTTTTTTTTTTTTTCATTGATTCTAGAGAGGAAGAGAGAGAGAGAGAGAGAGAGAGAGAGAGAGAGAGAGAGAGA